ACATATGGCTTCGGACCCACGTGGCTTTTCAAAGACAATGCGATCAAACAACTTACACATTGTATATATTGCCGAACCACAGACAGATGTCTGAGCATCCTTTGGAAACGACCTCACGGAGGAGTGGGTACTGACAATAACATGCCTCAATTCCAAACCACTTCTTCCTACTCTATGCTTCTGAACTAACGACTGAAGATATCCTTGTGAAATAAATAAAGAGACTTCCTCTTGTACTCTGACAAAAAGTTTAATTCAAATTAAAGTACAGAGTAACTCCTGCGGGACTGGGGAAGTTTTCCAATTACCGTCCCTCCTAATCTTTCATCCACGCTTACATGTATCTCCACTTCCGTCTTCCCCGAACTTTGATCGGGATGAGATAAAACTAATTTTTATTGATTTCAATTCATACATTTCTTACGATCCCTCGGAGATGGAAACTCGCTAGATGCACAGGTTTCAGAATTTTTATTTAATTTCAAGTTGTAAAGAATTAAATTTCAAAGTTGTCCTTCAAACGGCATACAGCGTGACTTGTAATGTTTACAGATGTTGTGTGTCTACGTCAGAGGTAGTGCAGCGGCTTGCTGCTTGTCGCGCATCACCTCTCACTGCTCACTCGTCATAGTAATACGCCCCAAACTGGAGACGGTTCACCAGTAAGTCTACAGGAGAAACACCTACAAGCCCTGATGAAGACTGAAGTCTGATGTCTGATTGATGTCTTTCTGATGTCTGATTGATGCCTTTCTGGTGTCTGATTGATGTCTTTCTGGTGTGATTGATGTCTTTCTGGTGTCTGATTGATGTCTTACTGACATTTCATTTATGTCTGATTGATATTTGATTGATGTCTGACTGATGTCTTGTTTATTTCTGATGATGTACGGATAATGTCTTGATTGTGTATGAGTTTATGGTGGATGATGTTCATATAATGTCTGAGTGATGTTTAATGGTGGATAATGTACAGGTGTCTGATCATGTACAGGTGTCTGATAATGTTCAGAAAGTCACTGATAATGTACAGTAAGTGTCTGAAGGAGTGCGGAAGGTGTCTGATAATGAACAGAAAGTGTCTGATAATGTTCAGAAAGAGTCTGATAATGTACAGAAAGTGTCTGAAAGAGTGTGGAAGGTGTCTGATAATGTACAGAAAGTCTGATAATGTCCAGAACGTCTCTGATAATGTACAGAAAGTGTCTCGAAGCGTGCGAAAGGTGTCTGATAATGTACAGAAAGTGTCTGAAAGACTGCGAAAGGTGTTTGATAATGTACAGAAGGTGTCTGATAATGTACAGAAAGTTTCTGAAAGAGTATGGAAGGTGTCTGATAATGTACAGAAAGTGTCTGAAAGAGTGCGGAAGGTGTTTGATAATCTACAGAAAGTGTCCGAAAGAATATGGAAGGTGTCTGATGATGTACAGAAAGTGTCCGAAAGAGTATGGAAGGTGTCTGATAATGTACAGAAAATGTCTGAAAGAGTGCGGAAGGTGTTTTATAATGTACAGAAAGTGTCCGAAAGAGTATGGAAGGTGTCTGATAATGTACAGAAAGTGTCTGAAAGTGTATGGAAGGTGTCTGATAATGTACAGAAAGTGTCTGAAAGAGTATGGAAGGAGTCTGATAATGTACAGAAAGTGTCTGAAAGAGTGCAGAAGGTGTCTGATAATGTACGAAAGTGTCTGAAAGAGTGCAGAAGGTGTCTCATAATATACAGAAAGTGTCAGAAAGAGTATGGAAGGTGTCTGATAATGTACAGAAAGTGTCTGAAAGAGTGCAGGAGGTGTCTCATTATATACAGAAAGTGTTTGAAAGAGTATGGAAGGTGTCTGATAATGTACAGAAAGTGTCTGAAAGAGTATGGAAGGTGTCTGATAATGTACAGAAAGTGTCTGAAAGAGTGCAGAAGGTGTCTAATAATGTACAGAAAGTGTCCGAAAGAGTATGGAAGGTGTCTGATAATGTACAGAAAGTGTCTGAAAGAGTGCAGAAGGTGTCTGATAATGTACAGAAAGTGTCTGAAAGAGTTTGGAAGGTGTCTGATAATGTACAGAAAGTGTCTGAAAGAGTATGGAAGGTGTCTGATAATGTACAGAAAGTGTCTGAAAGAGTATGGAAGGTGTCTGATAATGTACAGAAAGTGTCTGAAAGAGTGCAGAAGGTGTCTCATAATATACAGAAAGAGTGCAGAAGGTGTCTGATAATGTACAAAAAGTGTCTGAAAGAGTTTGGAAGGTGTCTGATAATGTACAGAAAGTGTCTGAAAGAGTGCGGATGGTGTATGATAATGCCCATATTATGTCATATAATGTCCAGAAGATGCCTGATAATGTCCTAATGGTGTCTGATAAAGTTCAGATAACGTTAAAATGGCTGATAATATCAAGATAATATCTGACCATGTCCGACATTTACGATTCAAATCGCACGTTGTTTGATACTGGAAGCTTGATAGGAATAGTTCTTGCAAAGGAGACACAGCAGTATGTTCTTATAATGAGTCTTAACACCAATCGTAAGGCCATCCGTAATATCAGCCTTATATTAACACCATCCTTTCAGCCAACCTTACCACCAATCGTAACGCCATCCGTAAAACAAGCCTTAACACCATCCTTTCAGCCAACCTTAACACCAATCGTAACGACAAGACCAAGCAGTTAAATATGAAACCTCCTCGCTTTCACTGATACTGGCCAAATCAAATATTAAGCTTCCCATCTCAATACCACCCTGAACATTAACGTGTGAGTCTACAGATCCTCGTAAGGAGATGTACATTAATGAATCTGACAATCCACATTGACGCCTCGGGGCTACAGTGTAGTTGAAGTGTTCACCACAAATATTGATCCTGACGAACAACAAAAACTGCCTCGGTTATAATTAACGTTCTCACTGCTTAGTTTCCTTACCACAGCATCGTCTACCACGGCCCTGGGAGCCGTCTTGTCGTGGAATGGGATGTTATGTAATACACGGCCCATTAGTGCTGCTCCTAGTCTACTCATTCACTGTCTGTGTAGAGGCGAACAGGGATTAAGGACAAACACTGGGAGTTGTAAGCTTGAAATTATAGCTGTTTTACAACAGAATTCTTAAATTAGCTTTCGTGTTTGTTGTCTTTTGAAGACGTTTCTTCTTGGACGATGTTGCAGTGCAGTTAGAGACGCAGCCGGTGCGGTGAGTGAAGTCGTTTGCGTTGTGGCTTATAATTAGGGTAAATGTTGACCTCAAGTCAACAGAAGATGCGCCATCATTAGAGTCAAGTGTTCGTCTCTCTCGCATTAGGGGCGGTGTGGTGACCTATTGGTTAATTGTTCTCGCTGCTTCGAAGTTTTATAGGGTAGCGAAACCACGTTTCGGGATTTTCCGTCGTGATTTTGATGTTGTGCTGTGTAAAACATACTCTAACACTCACTAACATTCTTACACATCCTCTGGGGGCGGTCGGGTAGCCTTGTGGTTAAAGTGTTCGCTCGTCACGCCGAAGACCCGGGTTCGATTCCCGACATGGGTACAAAGTGTGAAGCCCATTTCTGGTGTCCCCCGCCGTGATATTGCTGGAATATTGCTAAAAGCGGCGTAAAACCATACTCACTCACTCACTCACTCTTACACATCCTCACACTCATATTAACACTTATTGTTTTCGGGGTGGTAGGGTAGCCTAGTGGTTAAAGCGTTCACTCGTCACGCCGAAGACGCGGTTTCTGGTGTCCCCCGACGTGATATTGCTGGAATATTGCTAAAAGCGGCGTAAAACCATACTCACTCACTCACTCACATATCACATTCTCAATAACTTACATATTTTCACACTCACATGAACATTTACACAATCTTACGTACTCTCCTCTATATGGCTGAAGAAACAGCTAATGCGAAGTAACATTTAAACCCAATCGTTTTCTCTCACACATCAGTCACAATCATGCCCCCACAGACTGATGGGACACACAGCTGTCACACTCATGCCCCCACAGACTGATGGGACACACATCAGTCACAATCATGCCCCCACAGACTGATGGGACACACATCAGTCACAATCATGCCCCCACAGACACATCAGTCACAATCATTCCCTCACAGACACATCAGTCACAATCATGGGAGTTTACTTACTTTAAAAGTCCAGTTTCCACCCTTGCCGAACTAGGCTGGTATTTCTGGGCTCGATCGTAGCGCCACCAGTGGCTATTACGAGTTATGTCCCTTCTATGCCTCCCCTATGGACCAATCAGATTCCACCTCCGGAATCACTAACATTTGCTTCAAACAAAATGGCGGCGCCCAGTGATGACGATCTGATCGATAATCAAGATCTATATTGTCATGAAACGGGTCTTACATGCATCAAATCACGTGAGCACCTTGCTTAAAAACATGAAAAGATTAGAAAAATATGTGTTGACAACGAGTTGGCGGTGAACATACTTTACAAATCTTGCAATCGACCGAAATATACATGACAGTTTTCAAACAGGATTTCCATTTCGTTGCGCGATTTTGATTGGACCATGCATAGACTCGTTAGTCCAGCCAAAATGTAACTCCATAATACCAGCCTAGTTCGGCAAGGGTGGAAACTGGGCTTTTATAGTCAGTTAACTCCCTTGCCTCGGGAAGATGGTGCGGTGGATGTTTGTTGTCGGTGTAACCACGTGACTTTTGTTTGTTGAAGGGGCAACCACATGTGGTGGGTGCTTGTTGTTGGTGTGACCACGTGACTTTTGTTTGTTGAAGGAGCAACCACGTGTGGTGGGTGCTTGTTGTCGGTGTAACCACGTGACTTTTGTTTGTTGAAGGGGCAACCACGTGTGGTGGGTGCTTGTTGTTGGTGTGACCACGTGACTTTTGTTTGTTGAAGGGGTAACCACGTGTGGTGGGTGCTTGTTGTTGGTGTGACCACGTGACTGTTGCTTGTTAAAAGGGGTAACCACGTGTTTATTGCTTTTTGAAGGTGTGACCACGTGTGTTTGTTGTTGCAGGTGTGATGGACAAGGAGACAAAGGATACAATGAGTCTTCCACGCTGTGGTAACAGCGACAAAGACGACATGAGCCGAGGCGCGAGGAGGAAGCGGTATACGTTACAAGGTAAAATTCTTTACAGTCAACAACTTTTAAACTTTAAGATCCAACAAGCTAAATTCCTTTACGTTAACAACTTTTACTGCTTAAAAATCTTCAGCAGTTAATATCACTTTCAGTTAACATCAGTTAGAGTTTTAACATCATTTACAGTTACTTTGCAGTGTTAATGTCATATACAGTTAACATCCCGAATAGTATCCTTTATGGTTCTAACATCCTTAAAATGTTACCTTATTTACAGATAATATTCTTTACATTTAACATCTTTTACAGTGAACACTATAAGTTGTATACCTCGTATACAGTTTTGACATCATTTGCAGTTAATGCCCCTTTACAGTCAACATCCTTTACGGTCAACATCCTTTACGGTTAACATCACTGTCTTTCAACATCGTTTACTGTGCCGTTAGATGGGAGTGGTTGGGTGCCCGATAGAGACCAGAGAGTCTTTGTTTAGCTTTGTGTACAGCTGCCGTCCAGATCAGTGGGGCTGTAAAAAACATTTCTAGAACTTTTACGTGCAGCAAGCTGCCTTAATGACGTGCATTTATGCTATGTCGGCATAACTGGGCGGAAGTGACGTAGCGAGGAGTACCCATTGTCTGAAGCACTTCCTTCTCACATCGATCGCCTAGCAGAACAAAATGTGATGAGAGGAATGGCCTTTCAATGTTTCCGTTAATGATTTAAGTTCCTTTGAAAACATTTTCCAACTCTATGTTAAATCCGTTGGCTTCTTGTGTTTCCAATCACTGCGTTGTGTCGTGCATTTCGTCGAACACTGTCGGACTCATGTTTAACTTTGCATGAGGTGAGGTGAAATGGGGATTAACGTCGCGTTCAAGATTATTGCACATATAATATAGTGCTAGCCAACTGAGATACCATGCCGTAGTTTAACATGAATATCCCACTCAGACACAGTATACTGACTTCGAGCCGACCAGTTCTTGTTAATCTGTCACGGATGACGTTGGTAACGGATTCCTCTGTCACGGATGACGTTGTAACAGATTCATCTGTCACGGATGACGTTGGTAACATATTCATCTGTCACGGATGACGTTGTAACAGATTCATCTGTCACGGATGACGTTGGTAACCTATTCATCTGTCAAGGATGACGTTGTAGCAGATTCATCTGTCAAGGATGACTTTGTAACAGATTCATCTGTCACGGATGACGTTGTAACAGATTCATCTGTCACGGATGACTTTGTAACAGATTCATCTGTCAAGGATGACGTTGATAACAGATTCATCTGTCAAGGATGACGTTGTAACAGATTCATCTGTCAAGGATGACGTTGGTAACAGATTCATCTGTCAAGGATGACGTTGTAACAGATTCATCTGTCAAGGATGACGTTGTAACAGATTTATCTTTAACGGATGACGTAACAGATTCATCTGTCAAGGACGACGTTGTAACTGATTCATCTGTCACGGATGACGTTGGTATCTCATTAAACTGTACACAACGATGATAATAGCACAGGAAACATTCAGCATGTATTCGACTGTTAACGCTAACCGCGGATGTACTAGTAATCATGACGTTGTCAGAAGTTCAACCCGTCGCTGATTCTGTAAAGGCAGCACATTCAGCCACCAGTGATGACCTTGTCAAAAGACGTTGACGTTGGCACCTGAATGGTCCGTTAATGCTGAAGCCAACATAATTGCTACACTCCTAAAACAGCCTCATCAGTTCATGTTCCGCCACCAGATACGGTGGAAGTTTGCTGTAGAGCTGTCGGAATAGCCTCCATGCATCTACCAGAGCTAATATAATGGGAACAAGATCCTGTCTCGAAAAAATGCCATTATATATTTATGCAATTTTAGAAAAGTTAAACTTGTACTTCTCCGACAAAACCACCAAGCATTTCCTTTAATTATCCATTTCACAAGCAATCGTGCACCTTGTTTGTGTGAGGCAATGTCAGATTCGAGAGACCAAATCCTAAATAGGAACTATTTGAGCGCAGCATTATACGAGGGAGGAAATGTGAAACTGTGAATGACACAAGCCGCTACAGGGAACAATTCTTAACGAGCACCCGATGGTGACTTGCTCTAGGCTAAGGCAAAAAATACATATGGATTTCATTCGTCCATGTAGCATTGGGTACAGTCATTGGGAATGGATTCAAAATGCCGTCAAATTATTCTTATTTCCTGGAGAGTAAATCTCGAGGCTATATGGATAACATCCAGGTCACGTGACCTTCTTGGCCCTATTTTTGCACCTGCGAACCATTCAAACACGTGTATTTTGTGTCCTAGTGTTTAGACCATGTGCACATATACCAGCTTTGTTTCACATCTTATACCGAGCTTATGGGTGGTACTTCGATTTCTGGGTGTATGAGTCAGTGAGTGAGTAGGGGTTTTCACTGCCTTTAGCAACATTCATGAGATTTCACAGCGTGAGACACAAGAAATATACTTTAGATTGTACTCGGATGGAGATCTGGCTTATAGATGGTACTTGGATAGGCGGTCTGGCTTATAGATGGTACTTGGATAGGCGGTCTGGCTTATAGATGGTACTTGGGTTGGTAGTCTGGCTTATTAATGGTTCATGGGTTGGTAGTCTGGCTTATAAATGGTACTTGGATGGCGGTCTGGCTTATAGATGGTACTTGGATAGGCGGTCTGGCTTATAGATGGTACTTGGGTTGGCGGTCTGGCTTATAGATGGTACTTGGGTTGGTGGTCTGGCTTATAGATGGTACTTGGATGGATGCCCTGGCTTATAGATTGTATTTGGATGGATGCCCTGGCTTATATATGGTAGTTTGGTTAGTGGTCTGGCTTGTAGATGGTACTTGGATGGTGACCTGTCTTATAGATGGTACTTGGGTGGCGGTCTGGCTTATAGGTGGTACTTTGGTAGCGGTCTGGCTTATAGATGGTACTTGGGTTAGTGGTCTGGCTTATAGATGGTACTTGGGTTAGTGGTTTGGCTTATAGATGGTACTTGGGTTGGTGGTCTGGCTTATAGATGGTACTTGGGTTGGTGTCCTGGCTTTTAGATGACGTTTGGGTTGGTGGTCTGGCTTTTAGATGGTACTTGGATGGTGGTCTGGCTTACAGATGGTACTTGGATTGTGGCCTGGCCTATAGATGGTACTTAGGTTGGTGGTCTGGCTTATATATAGCACTTGAATGGATGGCTTATCTTATACATTTGTAGATGGTACTTGGATGGATGGCCTTGGCGTTTAGATGGTGTTTTCGTCTTTGGAGTAGTTTATCGATAGACGACGGTTAAGTGGCCTGGCTGTAAGATAGTACACAGATGACGTCCATCGTGTAGATGACGTCCATCGTGAAAGAGCATGTCTCACCTGGGACCTGGCTTATAAATAATAATTGTATGGGTGATATCAAAGTATTGCTCACAGCCTTTGTTCTGGAAATGATCAAACAAGCATGTCAATCTCTTTTCCCTTGAATCACCCCGACATGCGTGATGGCATCTCCTGCATATGTGATGGCAACGTTTGCATACGTGATAGTATAACGCTGGCATACAACACAGCCGTTAGTGGATGACTGGGATCTTCAAAGACGACAGTGGGATTCCGCCAGCAACACTGAAGACATCAGAAAAAGGGGAATGTGTTTACCGCTCGCCTCACAATCTGTGTCTGTAGTTTCATGGATCAATCAATCACATGCATCACGCAACACGTCATTTTCCCTGCGTGGAGGGTCGGGTAGCCGAGATTACCCTTTTGTCCCTGCTAGGTGGTGTTGGGGGCAGGGGTGACCCAGTGGTCAAGAACCTTCTATGTACAGTGCAGGTTTGGTACCAGAGGGCGCATCCTCCATTTTCAGACAACTTTCGTTTCTATGACATTCCTACCTCTGTTTGTGTTCGCTACGAGTGCTTGAGTAGTGTGCCCCTTTCCCCTTCGCTCCACTTTCAGGTTTTGAAATCTTTTATTCATTTCTTGATTGTCAATGATCATCTTTCTCTATCATGGCCATAGGCTTGTAGCTCTGTACGTCACGGTAATGTTCCCCACGTGTTTTCAATGCTCCCTGCACAGCCTACCACCCATCTACCCACCGACCAACTCACCCACCTTCAAACACACACACACACACACACACACACACACACACACACACACACACACACACACACACACACACACACACACGCACGCACGCACGCACGCACGCACACACGCACGCACACACACACGCACACACACACACACACACACACACACACACGCATGGACGCATGCACGCATGCACGCACTCACACACACACACCCGGGCTGAGGGTCATAGGTGCTTTACCTCACCCTCAAGGAACGCACTGAGGGGAACGTGATGCGACAGAGCTCCACACACCAGTGGCACTTCATGGACACAGAGGGCTGTTGTTGCTGTGCCCCACCTGTGAGCCAGCGGGCTGTTGTTGCTGTGCCCCACCTGTGAGCCAGCAGGCTGTTGTTGCTGTGCCCCACCTGTGAGCCAGCGGGCTGGGTTGGGCGCCATGTGCAGCCAGAGTTACATCCCCTGACCCCCAGGCAGGTGGCAGTACATGGAACCAACAGGGAGAGGCGAGCATTTGTCACCCCTGGGGAAGTATGTACTCAGACCAAAATAGGGAAGTTGGATGAAAGGAACACGTTGAACTCCTCCCAGGGAAGCCCTAGAATGGGTGATATTAGCTCGCATTAGCGCAGGGATACACAACAGCTGAAACCAGTCTGATTTAGCCCACTACATTATATCAAGAGAGTTCGTCATGTTGGGGATCTCTTTATGATCTCATGTAGGATCTCTTTGGGTTTATAATAGGCAGTGACAGACTAATTTCTCATCACTCATTATAACACCATGCACAAGTACAATATAGGGTGTTGAAAGTTTTTATAGCTACAAAATATAGTTTTAAACATGTGCGCGTTCCATTAGTGAAACAGGAATCAGCAGAAGATGGTAACTGCAGACAGTACCAGGTAAAAGGG